TAATGTTGTACATGGCTTATTAAAGTTTACATGTTTGTTAATGTTGTACATGGCTTATTAAAGTTTACATGTTTGTTAATGTTGTACATGGCTTATTAAAGTTTACATGTTTGTTAAGGTTGTACATGGTTATAAAAGTTTACATGTTTGTCAATGTTGTACATGGCTTATTAAAGTTTACATGTTTGTTAAAGTTGTACATGGTTATTATTAAGTTTACATGTTTGTTAATGTTGTACATGGTTATTATTAAGTTTACATGTTTGTTAATGTTGTACATGGCTTACTAAAGTTTACATGTTTGTTAATGTTGTACATGGCTTACTAAAGTTTACATGTTTGTTAATGTTGTACATGGTTATTATTAAGTTTTAGTTGTGTAACAGATTTGATAATAGTTAGTTTTTAATAGAAGTATCCAGTAAATAAACAATACGTAAAGTGCTTATATACATTTGTGACTTAACTATCAGTGCTTTGTCAAAAATATGAAAATCTGTATTTCAGAATAATGGCTGAAACCTCAACGGGCTGTCTATTAGGAGGGTCAGCTCTTGGAAGGAAAGGTAAGGGACTTGTTTTAAGTGGAAACTATGATGCGGAAAGACCAACAACGTACACTAGACTTTATTCAGAATAGAATAACTTAAATTTCAGGCCTTACAATATATCAGCTGGATGGTAATATGTTTCTGAGGAGTATTGAAAATTAATCGTTGTCTGAAATTGATTTTCATACATTACAGAAAATAATTTTGATTTATAAGTAGCTTGCATTCTGTTTATTGGTCAGGACACATGTTACGATTGTAAACGTAATTTACAAGAAACATATCTTATTTTTATTGTACGTTATTGAGTGTGAATGTTGATAATCAAGTGAAATCAAGAAGATACTTGTAGGTATCATTTCAGAAGATATTCATAGGACCATTTCAAAAGATACTTGTAGGTACCATTTCAGAAGATACTCGTAGGTACCATTTCAGAAGATACTCGTAGGTACCATTTGAGAAAATACTCGTAGGTACCATTTGAGAAGATACTCGTAGGTACCATTTCAGAAGATACTCATAGGTACCATTTGAGAAGATACTCATAGGTACCATTTGAGAAGATACTCATAGGTACCATTTGAGAAGATGCTTGTTGATATCATTTCAGAAGATACTTGTAGATACCATTTCAGAAGATGCTTGTAGGTATCATTTCAGAAGATGCTCGTAGGTACCATTTCAGAAGATACTCATAGGTACCATTTGAGAAGATACTCGTAGGTTCCATTTCAGAAGATACTTGTAGATACCATTTCAGAAGATACTCGTAGGTACCATTTCAGAAGATACTCGTAGGTACCATTTCAGAAGATACTTTCTTCTGAAATGGTATCTACGTAAGTGCCCATAGTTGATCCATATTTCTTTGTTCTTCAACGTCATTAACTACAAGGGACATCCTGATCTGAACACATTTTCAAAATGATGTCTGCCACTACCTTCACAGTGCCGTCTGCCACTACCTTCACAGTGCCGTCTGCCACTACCTTCACAGTGCCGTCTGCCACTACATTCACAGTGCCATCTGCCACTACATTCACAGTGCCATCTGCCACTATCTTCTGAAATGGTACCTGCAAGTATCTTCTGAAATGGTACCTACGAGTATCTTCTGAAATGGTATCTGCCACTATCTTCTGAAATGGTACCTGCAAGTATCTTCTGAAATGGTACCTACGAGTATCTTCTGAAATGGTATCTACGAGTATCTTCTGAAATGGTATCTACAAGTATCTTCTGAAATGGTATCTACGAGTAAGCCATACACTCCTTTTCAACTGTCCTCAGGGAGCTGGAGAATGAAACAGGTATTTCTGCTATTCCATATAAGTTAAGCTGCCTCTGGATTTCTGTTTGATTAGACTGTTGAAACATGTTAGAAAACCTTCATACTCATACACTAGACGGATCGTGAATGGGGAGGAGTGGTGTGCTTTGGATGCAGCAGCTGTACTAAAAAGTCTTGCAGTAGAACCTACATTCCAGGACTGTTGAAACATGTTAGAAAACCTTCATACTCATACACTAGATGGATCGTGAATGGGGAGGAGTGGTGTGCTTTGGATACAGCAACTGTACTAAAAAGTCTTGCAGTAGAACCTACAATCCAGGGGTATTGTCAAAATGGGTGGTTTTCAGATATAGCATGACTGGACATGGCTACTTGGATTATAATGATGTGGTGAGGATCCAGAATCATTTTAATACAATGTGTTCAACCTCTCTTCAGGAGAGGTTAACTAGATTCACACACACCTTGTGGTTTGTATTTACTTTCTCATGAATTATAATGAAAGATAGGTACGAAGTGTGAGACTAGAAATCATTTTGTTTATAAATCTACTTAGGAGAAAGTGCAGAGAAAGTAGGAGAAGCAGCAGCTAAAGAACTCCTTGATGATCTTAACTGTGGAGGATGTGTAGATCATCATCTCCAAGATCAGGTAGGAAACTACTTAACTTTAGCAATTAAATGTGTGAGAACTTACAGTGCTAAAAAGCAGGTTTCAGTATCTATGGTAGGCACAATTAACCCATTGTATGTATATATGTGTGTTTAATACAAAACAAACAAACCTTACTTAAAATATGGAGGATATAGAAGGGGGGGTGTGTGAATGTGGCTTTGACAAAGTTAGTGTTATCTCAGTAAACAAAAAGAGGATGAACTTTTATGTTCCAGCTTGTTGGTATCTATAGTATGTGTTATATACTATAGAATGTTATAGTAGAAGATTGGGACCGTGTGTTTGTAAAACATTGCTGAGTTAGAACAGTGGCAGGATGTTATAGTAGAAGATTGGGACAGTGTGTTTGTAAAACATTGGTTAATTAGGACAGTAGTAATATGTTATGGTAGAAGATTGGGACAGTGTTCTTGTAAAACATTACTGAGTTAGAATAGTTGCAGAATGTTATAATAGAATATTGGGACAGTGTGTTTGTAAAACATTGCTGAGTTAGAACAGTGACAGGATGTTATAGTAGAAGATTGGGACAGTGTTCTTGTAAAACATTGCTGAGTTAGAACAGTGGCAGGATATTATAGTAGAAGATTAGGACAGTGTGCTTGTAAAACATTGGTTAATTAGGACTAGTAATATGTTATGGTAGAAGATTGGGACAGTGTGTTTGTAAAACATTACTGAGTTAGAACAGTGGCAGGATGTTATAGTAGAAGATTGGGACAGTGTTCTTGTAAAACATTGCTGAGCTAGAAAAGTGGCAGGATGTTATAGTAGAAGATCAGGACAGTGTTCTTGTAAAACATTACTGAGTTAGAACAGTGGCAGGATGTTATAGTAGAAGATTGGGACAGTGTGTTTGTAAAACACTGCTGAGTTAGAACAGTGGCAGGATGTTATAGTAGAAGATTGGGACAGTGTGTTTGTAAAACATTACTGAGTTAGAACAGTGGCAGAATGTTATAGTAGAAGATTGGGACAGTGTGTTTGTAAAACATTACTGAGTTAGAACAGTGGCAGAATGTTATAGTAGAAGATTGGGACAGTGTTTGTAAAACATTGCTGAGTTAGAACAGTGGCAGGATGTTATAGTAGAAGATTGGGACAGTGTTCTTGTAAAGCATTACTGAGTTAGAACAGTGGCAGGATGTTATAGTAGAAGATTGGGACAGTGTGTTTGTAAAACATTGCTGAGGTAGAACAGTGGCAGTTTCAGTTTATATTCTTAATGAATTTATGTCTTATGTAATGTTTCAGCTTATTATCTTCATGGATTTATGTCTTATGTAATATTTCAGCTTATTATCTTCATGGATTTATGTCTTATGTAATGTTTCAGCTTATTATCTTCATGGCTTTGGCAAAGGGTGAATCCAGGATTAAAACTGGACCAGTAACTTTACACACTGAAACTGCAATCTACGTGGTCCAGTTGTTAACAGAGGTAAGTTGCTAAGTTGTAGGTCAGTGAGGATGGTTAAATTATTAGTTAATGACAAAAATAGGTGTGTTTGAAGGTGAAAGTTGTTGATGAATGTTAGCAATTTGTAGAGTAATGTAGTTGAGTTCAATAGATGTTTGTAAATTCTTTCATATAAGAACTTTGTAGTTGTCAGTTGATACCTACAGTCGACCTACAGTAAGAGATGTCAGTATTTGATCAGTTATGATCAGTTAACCCTTCGCATTGGATAGGTCGGAGTGCACATGTCACAACCTTTCACAGTGTTACATTCAAAATATAATTAAACTACTTAAACTTGGCATCAAAATATAATTAATAAATAAAATGTTGATATTACTTAAGTTTTAAGTTCTTCATTTTATAAGGAAATATAAAAAAAACACACACCTCAATCTACCCTGGTATGAGAACTGTAACGTTTGTTATCTGTGTCTTCCCTCTTCTTAATTTATTTACTACCCCTCTAGTTTGGAATTCAATGTTAATTACTCAGGCACAACATAATTTTTGTAGCTTTCAATCTTATTTGGTTTCAGAACCATAAGCTAGAAAATGAGACCCCTCCTGCCACATCCATGTGTCACATCCTCTCTTTTGTAATGGACAGTGCCCTTAGGGCTAGTCATTGGAGTTTCGACTATACTCTATATTACACCAAATTTATTTATTGAGGATTGCAGTGGTGTGTGGAGCTCACAAGTTCCTAACTCGGAGATTTACGGTTAAACTAAAGAAACTGATCCTGAGACTGATATTCAACACAATACGTCAAGTTTCTTCACATAAAATACACTTTAGTAAAGCTTTAATCATTTGCTAACCCTTCATAAAAGAACACTTTAGGTTAACAACACTGATAATTATAACAAACACATAACATAGTTCACATTCTTAACTTTTGTATAATTCTTTATAATCCATCCAAAATCACATTAATTGACTAAGAGAGAAATAGTTTAATTACTTACAATACAGTTGGCCTGGTAAGATGTTGAAGCTGCGACACTTTCGTGTTCATGGTTTTTGAACTGTCAGCAACTCTGAGAGAACCCTAATTCTTGCTGGAGAGAACTGATTTTTAGCTCCAGACACGAGTGTTTAAACCTTATTTTCTTTGTATTCTTTCAACTTTCCAAATGGTATTCCTAAATACCCACAAGTAGTTCTAACACTTTATTGGTCAATCTGTGCAACTCCCCGGGCTAATCCAAAACAAGAACTAAAACTCTCAAGTAATTGGTTGAGTGCTTTGGTTGCCTTTTTACTTGTACTACTACACTGGTCTGGAGTAACAGATCTCACATCAAAGCACTGATTTGAGATGCTATCATAAATTTTTTAGTAGCCTTTACTGTACTATTAATGTGACATCAGTAACTTCTCACTGTCAAATTTGTGACTAGTGTTTTTCTCAGCGTCCTCATTGTAGCTTCATTTTTTATAACTCTTAACTCATGATTCTCAATAATATGGCCAACTAATACGTATAGCCGACTGTAAGAGATACCGATACTTATGTATTAATGACATTAAAGTGTAAGACACTTCACACCAAAGCTGCCACCAAAGCTGCTTTAGTGTGTTTTATACAGTTATGGTCAACTAATATGTATAGCCGACTGTAAGAGATACCGATACTTGTATATTAATGACATTAAAGTGTAAGACTCTTCACACCAAAGCTGCCTTAGTGTGTTTTATACAGTTATGGTCAACTAATGTGTATAGCCGACTGTAAGAGATACCGATACTTGTATATTAATGACATTAAAGTGTAAGTCTCTTCACACCAAAGCTGCCTTAGTGTGTTTTATACATTTATGGTCAACTAATATGTATAGCCGACTGTAAGAGATACCGATACTTATATATTAATGACATTAAAGTGTAAGACACTTCACACCAAAGCTGCTTTAGTGTGTTTTATACAGTTATGGTCAACTAATATGTATAGCCGACTGTAAGAGATACTGATACTTATATATTAATGACATTAAAGTGTAAGACTCTTCACACCAAAGCTGCTTTAGTGTGTTTTTTATTGTAGGTTGAAGTGATCACTCGGTGATGAATGTTATTAGATTAATGTTGTGATAGGAAGCTGTACATAATATTAAATGATATGAACATCTGATCAAAGATACTTACATAGATTGGAGCTAAAAGTGAACCAAGAAATGAGTATAGGTAATTAAATAGGCTGTTTTTACTTATGAGGATTAGAATCCATTGTTTCTTCACTTGTATACCTTTGCTGTTAACATTATTTTTGGCCATAATCCCAACAATATCTATCTGTCTTTTGGCCAGCTAGCAAACTGAGGCTATTCCTAAGCCGATATACTAAGTTGGCAATGCAAACTAATGTTTAAAAACATCAAAGATTGAACAATAATGAACTTAAATATATTAAGCATCAATACTGTTAATAAAAGTGAAGTTAAAAAAAAAAAGAATAGCGTGTACCTAACCTTCTGTTTTGGCTATATATTTTAACTGTTTGAATTTTTTTGGTTCTTTTTTTTTGTTAATCAGAATGATTGAATTCTGTAAAAATATATTAAAAATGAATAGTTAATTATAAAGTTAGGCTATCCTATTAAGTTTCTTCATTGTAAGTAATTAGCTAAAAGTGGAAGTTACATAATTTACATGTATCATGTAAACAATTTTCTCTCTCTGTTCTTAAAAGGCCAAGTTCAACTTAGTCAAAGACGAAGTCCACAATTCCTGTATCATTGAATGTCAAGGTATTGGCCTACAACAAAGCAGTGACTGACAAGTTATTGAATGCTATTTCCTGTATCTTCTGATGTAAACCCAAAAATTAAAATCAACTGTGTTTTGATGCCGGTGTTTCCCCATCCCTCCATGCTTGAAAAAAAATCAGTCTTAAGTTTTGTAGAAAAAAAAAACAGCTTCCAAGGAGGAAGAAGTATTTGAATTTTCACGTTATTACATTATCCTTGTAAACCTTGTTTTGATGTTCTTTTCTAAACATAACACATATTTATGGAAATAAAACACTTTGCTTTGAAGCATTTAGAAAAGTTTATAATATATTGGTGTGCTTATTTTGTCTGTAAACGTTTGAACTTGAGATATAGTTTTTTGTTATGGTAATAACATTAACTTCTGATCATACTAACTTATGTACTTTAGAGTGAAACTAAAATCAACCTTGCTGTTAGTATAGCTGATAAACTATACACTTCTATTCATAAAGATTAGAATTCCTTGTTTCATTAACTGGGTGTCCTCGATGTTAAGGATATATTCAGTTGTAAACCTGATAATATCTCATAAGGTTTAGCCAGCTTAGGAGATTTAGGTTATTTCTAAATGCATATCTTAAGCTAATAATGGAAATTAATCTTCATAATAAAATTATAATGCGTGCTTGCTATGTGCTGTGTCTGCTACAGACATTGGCATTAATGGCTTTCCATCCTCTTCAATCTGTTGCAGATTGCAGAGGACCTATGTGTTGGTATTTCTATTTTCTATCCATTTATTGATGGTTGAGCCCATGTCTTCAACCATGTCTGCTACAGACATTGGCATTAATGGCTTTCCATCCTCTTCAATCTGTCACAGATTGCAGAAAGCCTATGTGTTGGTATTTCTATTCTTCAACCATGTCTGCTACAGACATTGACAATCATGGCTTTCCATCCACTTCAATCTGTCACAGATTGCAGAAGACCTATGTGTTGTTATTTCTATTTTCCATCCATTTATTGACGGTTGAGCCCATGTCTTCAACCATGCGGTTGACTATTCTTTATTACTTTCGTAACAGACTTCTGAACTTTGGTCCTATGTAACACTTCGTCGTTTGTCCAAGATATTCTCAGCATCCTCTTGATGTACCACATTTCTACTGATTCTAATCTGCTTTGCATAACTTTACTAATTGTTCAACTTTCACATCTATATAGAAGAATGGACCAGACATAATATTTCACAACACGTTTTAGTGCCTGTAATAATAAACTTTATATTGAAATAAAAACTAGGTTAGGTTGTAAACTTTAGTTCTGTATTAATGACACAAAGTCCAAATATCCCTGATTACAATAACTCATAGAGGAGAGGACATTCACTTAGTGGATAGTCTAATAAAAATCTCTGCTTTTTGATGTATTTGTAATGCGTGGAATGATGTATTTGTAATGCGTGTAATGATGTATTTGTAATGCGTGGAATGATGTCATTGTAGTGTGTGGAATAATGTATTTGTAATGCGTGGAATGATGTATTTGTAATGCGTGTAATGATGTATTTGTAATGTGTGCAATGATGTATTTGTAATGCGTGGAATGATGTGTTTGTAATGGGTGGAATGATGTATTTGTAATGCGTGGAATGATGTGTTTGTAATGCGTGGAATGATGTATTTGAACTGCGCGGAATGATGTATTTGTAATGCGCGGAATGATGTATTTGTAATGGGTGGAATGATGTATTTGTAATGCGTGGAATGATGTGTTTGTAATGCGTGGAATGATGTATTTGTAATGCGCGGAATGATGTGTTTGTAATGGGTGGAATGATGTATTTGTAATGCGTGGAATGATGTGTTTGTAATGCGCGGAATGATGTATTTGTAATGCGCGGAATGATGTGTTTGTAATGGGTGGAATGATGTATTTGTAATGCGTGGAATGATGTGTTTGTAATGC